CTTCACTCGGGATTTGAATCAACCACTGCATCTCTGTGCTAATGTGGTGTGGCAACTCAAACTGATGTACGTACATACGAAGTTCTACGTTGTTACTGACTGACTGAATAGGAAATATCGTATGAAATTCCTAATTCAGTGTTAAAAAATTAGACTGGTAGAATTCTTTATTTTTTTATTACTACATATCAAAGGCATCCTACAAATTGTAAGCAGGTAGTCATGAGTGAGATTTTTATCACAGATCATTGATATCCAAGATGACTCCTAAATATGTAGGCTATCGGTTGGTAAGTACTAGGTTAAAACTGGTTACAAACCCTCTCTACTTTGAATATTCTCACCAGAGAGATATTACCATTAACCAATAAGAAAGTCAGAGTAAATATACACACCCGTAAATGGTTGCCTAGCAGCAAAAGGCATAATTATTGCTTTACTGTTCATTTCTGCGTATTGGCATCAGTTTGTTGGAAAGCATAAAATTAGTATTCATTTGTTGATTCTTTTAGCTTCAAGGGTTTAAGTTGATGCATTTGAACGTTTATAACTGCATCATACCTAACTACAATTATTTGAATACATACCTGTACAAAGGGGGCACGAAATACACAATAAAAATGAGTCTGAGAACAGATAGAGAATGTAAATTGCACATGAGATAAAGGAGAACAACAACGGACAGGAATTACTGGATGAAAATGAAATAATAATAATGGGAGAAACAGTTCAGCAGTTTAAAAATCCCCATAGAATATTCCAAAATGAAAAATATTTGAGCGAACAATTGTTTTCAACAACTTCATAATCATCATTATCATCATCATCAGGCTCTACAGTTCAGAATTATGGTGATCTTTTACAAAGGCCAAAATAAGGCATAGCATTAATGAATTTGACAATGTTATATGTTAAAAATGGTGAACGTGTGAATCTGTTACGACATAGATACAATTCAAAATTGTGTTATTCACAAATTAGACCAGCCATTTAATAGAGGTCAAAATGATTTGGAGTAAAGTGTCAAGTCACAATCAGTACAACAATAGTAATATAGAAAAGAATGACGTTTTAGTCAGGCTAATCACGTGTTCTTGATCTGAGTTGTGTTGAAGTCCTGTAGAATAGACACTGGGAGGGAATCTAGTGTGGATATTCAACGTAAATATATTTCCACACCAAAAACTCGACGCAATCCAACAACAATGAGCAGTCAATAAAAAAACAATAATAAGGATAAGGGAATATATAACTCATCTGACACTACCTATCAGACTATTTACATGTTCGACTAAGCAGACAACCAATCATTATCATCCTCACCCACTCATCATTTTCACACTTGGTAGATAGTGAACATTATATCAAAATAGAGGAAGCTTTCTCTGTTTTATTATCAAGTTCCAAAAAAACCTACCTCAAGGAGCTAGATTACGGCTACTCTACATAGCCGAAGCCATCTAGATCAATTCCAGAAAACCGAACTTATATATCCAGCCTCTATGTTTACCCTGGCCTACGACTGGATTACCGGATACCTAAACTGAATATTGTAAACCTCTTACCCCCTTCTCGTTTTTTTATCGTAATTACCATTGTAACACCCCTCTTATTAAATACTATATTCACACAACAATATTATTATTATTATCTCGATTAACAAGATGAAATTCTCCTACTATGCATTTTATTCACGCGAGTTTTTGCATTTTCATTCTTTGCCATATTACTATTGTTGTACTGATTGTGACTTGACACTTTACTCCAAATCATTTTGACCTTTATTAAATGGCTGGTCTAATTTGTGAATAACACAATTTTGAATTGTATCTATGTCGTAACAGATTCACACGTTCACCATTTTTAACATATAACATTGTCAAATTCATTAATGCCATGCCTTATTTTCGCCTTTGTAAAAGATCACCATAATTCTGAACTGTAGAGCCTGATGATGATGATGATGATGATGATGATGATGATGATGATGATGATGATGATGATGATGATGATGATGATGATGATGATGATGATGATGATGATGATGATGATGATGATGATGATGATGATGATGATGATGATGATGATGATGATGATGATGATGATGATGATGATGATGATGATGATGATGATGATGATGATGATGATGATGATGATGATGATGATGATGATGATGATGATGATGATGATGATGATGATGATGATGATGATGATGATGATGATGATGATGATGATGATGATGATGATGATGATGATGATGATGATGATGATGATGATGATGATGATGATGATGATGATGATGATGATGATGATGATGATGATGATGATGATGATGATGATGATGATGATGATGATGATGATGATGATGATGATGATGATGATGATGATGATGATGATGATGATGATGATGATGATGATGATGATGATGATGATGATGATGATGATGATGATGATGATGATGATGATGATGATGATGATGATGATGATGATGATGATGATGATGATGATGATGATGATGATGATGATGATGATGATGATGATGATGATGATGATGATGATGATGATGATGATGATGATGATGATGATGATGATGATGATGATGATGATGATGATGATGATGATGATGATGATGATGATGATGATGATGATGATGATGATGATGATGATGATGATGATGATGATGATGATGATGATGATGATGATGATGATGATGATGATGATGATGATGATGATGATGATGATGATGATGATGATGATGATGATGATGATGATGATGATGATGATGATGATGATGATGATGATGATGATGATGATGATGATGATGATGATGATGATGATGATGATGATGATGATGATGATGATGATGATGATGATGATGATGATGATGATGATGATGATGATGATGATGATGATGATGATGATGATGATGATGATGATGATGATGATGATGATGATGATGATGATGATGATGATGATGATGATGATGATGATGATGATGATGATGATGATGATGATGATGATGATGATGATGATGATGATGATGATGATGATGATGATGATGATGATGATGATGATGATGATGATGATGATGATGATGATGATGATGATGATGATGATGATGATGATGATGATGATGATGATGATGATGATGATGATGATGATGATGATGATGATGATGATGATGATGATGATGATGATGATGATGATGATGATGATGATGATGATGATGATGATGATGATGATGATGATGATGATGATGATGATGATGATGATGATGATGATGATGATGATGATGATGATGATGATGATGATGATGATGATGATGATGATGATGATGATGATGATGATGATGATGATGATGATGATGATGATGATGATGATGATGATGATGATGATGATGATGATGATGATGATGATGATGATGATGATGATGATGATGATGATGATGATGATGATGATGATGATGATGATGATGATGATGATGATGATGATGATGATGATGATGATGATGATGATGATGATGATGATGATGATGATGATGATGATGATGATGATGATGATGATGATGATGATGATGATGATGATGATGATGATGATGATGATGATGATGATGATGATGATGATGATGATGATGATGATGATGATGATGATGATGATGATGATGATGATGATGATGATGATGATGATGATGATGATGATGATGATGATGATGATGATGATGATGATGATGATGATGATGATGATGATGATGATGATGATGATGATGATGATGATGATGATGATGATGATGATGATGATGATGATGATGATGATGATGATGATGATGATGATGATGATGATGATGATGATGATGATGATGATGATGATGATGATGATGATGATGATGATGATGATGATGATGATGATGATGATGATGATGATGATGATGATGATGATGATGATGATGATGATGATGATGATGATGATGATGAAGAAGAAGAAGAAGAAGAAGAAGAAGAAGAAGAAGAAGAAGAAGAAGAAGAAGAAGAAGAAGAAGAAGAAGAAGAAGAAGAAGAAGAAGAAGAAGAAGAAGAAGAAGAAGAAGAAGAAGAAGAAGAAGAAGAAGAAGAAGAAGAAGAAGAAGAAGAAGAAGAAGAAGAAGAAGAAGAAGAAGAAGAAGAAGAAGAAGAAGAAGAAGAAGAAGAAGAAGAAGAAGAAGAAGAAGAAGAAGAAGAAGAAGAAGAAGAAGAAGAAGAAGAAGAAGAAGAAGAAGAAGAAGAAGAAGAAGAAGAAGAAGAAGAAGAAGAAGAAGAAGAAGAAGAAGAAGAAGAAGAAGAAGAAGAAGAAGAAGAAGAAGAAGAAGAAGAAGAAGAAGAAGAAGAAGAAGTTATTGAAAACAATTGTTCGCTCAAATATTTTTCATTTTTGAATATTCTATGGGGATTTTTAAACTGCTGAACTGTTTCTCCCATTATTATTATTATTATTATTATTTCATTTTCATCCAGTAATTCCTGTCCGTTGTTGTTCTCCTTTATCTGATGTGCAATTTACATTCTCTATCTGTTCTCAGACTCATTTTTATTGTGTATTTCGTGCCCCTTTTGTACAAATATTTATTTGTTCAAATTAATAAACAATAACTATACATGACTGGCGTATCTAGTGGAGTAACCGACGTAGTTTAATCCGATACTCGAGATTATAGGCAGGGTACACAGTGCTATTCGTTATAAATCTATCCTGTGTATATAATAGCGTAGGCTTTATGTTTTTAATTTTGATTGAGATCATGAACTGATAATAATAATAAACTCCACAACCGCTGTACTGACTTATGTTTTTGTTTGTTCAAGTACTTAGGGGCATATTTTCGCTAAATAACTTTTATGACTTACGGTTTGTGTGTAGGGAAGTCTATCAAATAGTAGTTAATATAAATGTTTGGTTAGGTTCATTGTTGATAAATCTTGGACCGAACTATCTACCCCATTTAAAGAAAAGTTTTGTTTTCACTGTAGATGGGAACGTCAAGATGAAATTTCGAATGCATTAAAAGCTGGTATTAGCGTTGTTGTAGATCGTTACAGTTATTCTGGTATTGCTAACACAGCCGCTAAATTTCATCCACTCTCTGAATTTGATTGGAAATGGTGCCGTTCTATGGAGTATGGGTTACTGCAACCAGATTTCATATTTTGCCTTGCTCCAGAAAATTTTGCTGAAATTTCAGTTCGTGACGCATTTAGTGACAAAAAGTTTGAAACAATGGATTTTCAAAAACGAATTCTTATTTATTACGGTCGTTTATCACGTGAAATGGAGTCTGAGTTAAGTGAGAATGATGACACAAATGAGCGTGAACCCCGACTCTGGCATTGGATACCGGCAACAGGTCAAACTGTGGATGAAACCCATTCATGTATAATGTCGATTATTGATTCTAAATTATAAGCCAGTTTTTTAATAAAATTATCTATTCATTATATTTACTTTTGACTATTATTTATTTTGTTGTTAATGATGACTGTTAAGAATAGCCAATCAAATTGAAGTAGTATCAGTAGTTCATATTGAAATCAGGCACAAGGTGCTAAGCAAAGATGGTTCATCGGTTAAGTTTGTGAATATCCATCACCTGGAGTGGTTGGGATGTGTCACGTTTGTCGAATCGCCATCTACCTCGATATGCAGTGATAGCTGAAGTAAGTGTGAATGAATCAAAAAGCTAGTTGTCAAATTTTCTGGGGATCTAGCATCCCCAGAAATCGCTTGATCAACGTCGTATTTTTGTAATTTTGGAAACTTGAATTTCTTGTTTCTCTCCAAAAGCGCTCATTCCTACCTTCAGATTGTATTTCCCACTTGAAAAGACCCTAAATGTTGTTGATTCATCCCCTCTTTTAATATGCTATTTTGTGACGTTTCCCAAGGACATTTTATGCTGTATATATACGTTTGAGTTGTGTGCTTGTTCTTGTTTGAGATTCTCGGTGCTTGTGGAATATACCTTTTCATCATCTGAACCGAGTCTTCTTCTGGTTATCAGGGCTGGGATGCATCGGAATAGTTTAGCTTGTCTTGTCGCTGATCCTTCGTTCCGTCCACCGATTTTAGGTGATCTCGTAATCCCTTCAAACATATTTAAACCAAGACATCGTGTCAGTTCATGAAATCATAACTTGTTGACCCAAGTCATGGTGATATCAAGCTATTTAGTTATATGGTCTGCGCGATGACCTTGGTCAATCGTTAGAGACGTGCAACACGACTCATAATTGGTCACAGGGACTCAGGTGCACTCAATGTTCATTTAGATTTTGACTTCCGGTATCCCCTTGCACATAAATTTCTGTTCAATCTTATTGAACCATATCCTTTATTTCCGGTCTTTCTCATTGCTATCACATTGTTTTGATCCCTTTACTACTCATTTTATTCATTTCATCTCGTCTTTTTGACGCGGTGGGTAAATTGAGCTAATGCACGTGCCAGCCCTTATGTTGATCTTGACTAACAAAATTATTCTTACGATTTCATACAAGTTATCCCATTTATAAATTAGGATATATTCTTCTGACACGATTGAAAAGTATTCTGAAGAAAGCTATTTTGTAGATTATTGAAGTCTAAGTATAGACCGCCTCATGTGTCCTTACGATAAGCATATCTTCTCAATCGACCATTTGTATTACTCTTTAGAAGATAACACTGGTTAATTAACCATACTTGAACTTTGATTACATGGTAATGATTATTCTCAACAATTCCTAACTAAGTATGAGAAGACTAAAGCGAGGGGAATGCAGTATGCTACGGTTGAGAAACCTGGCTTCAAGGATGATGAAATAACTAGGAAGATTGGTTCTAGATTAAAAGACGTAATAAAATGATATATCCAATTACCAACCCGATCTCCATGTATCAAACGAATTAAGACGGTTGTTTGTGAACAATTCTCCCTATACTACTTCCAATTGTATCTACCAGTTTATATCTACGCCCAAAAGTACATACATCGGAAAAACAGAAAATGAGGATTAGTATCCGCATCTCTAAGCACATTTCACAAAAGTTTAAACTAGGGGAACACTTTTTTAGCATTGTGACTGAACATCATCTGTTTGTCAATGACCATGATGTTTATGTCTCAGAGTCGTCTAAGATACTTAGTAAAAAAAGGACGTTGAATTTACTGTGGCTTGATGTAGCGATTTCCGTGAAAAGATTTAAACCAAACATATTCATCCAGTTATCAACCTTGTTTTGTCGTGGTACCTTTAATCATAAATGTTTGTTACTCATTTCGCATGGCACTGATCATTAATCTCCATCTTTATCTGATCTGTGATCGGTCAATTTTGTCTCAAGGGTTACATAACTATTGCAATAATATCTCATCTTTGAATAGTTCTGTTACTATGCTCTTAGTTTTCATTCTGAGATATTCTTATAATCAACCTATGAATATTCATGTTATCTAGCGAATAAATATATCTTGTAATTTTTCCATACTTATTGCATTTTTCATTAATCTCTGATAAGAGCTTATATTGTATGATGAAGTATGTAATCTTATTCTCAATAATGTGAACACCATTATGTTTAAGTTGTAAACAGCTGGTGAGAAATCGCGCAATATGACGACTCCATATTTATCTTGTCACTTCAATTGTTTTTGTTTTAGTCTAATTCTTGTGATTTAGATTCAAGCGTATTTAATGATACTTATGCTTTTGAAAATTTTCTGGGTTACAAATTCATAAATATCCAGTAAATTCTTACAATATGCGACAAAATCGAGAGATGTTAACGGTGTGTTGTATTTGTAAATTTCTAAATTGGTGTAAAAATTACAAGTTTATTTTAATGACAGCTGTTGCTACTCATTTTCAATTGTTTTTGCCTTAAATTTCATTAGTACTGATACTAGTAATATATAATCTATAGACCAGTAAATATAATCGTCAGAACTTATCGTCGACCCAAATCACTTGGGATTCAATCCATATGTCTTGAGTTTAAACCTCTTTTCTTATTTGGTCTAAATAGTCTTGTGAAATTACCACCTCAAAAACTGGAGCTAAAGGCGAATAGCGAAACCTTTGTTCGGTAGTTGAGCTTCATTATTGTAGCAAATGATCATACATTAAAAGAAGTCATCAGGTTTTCTTTGATTTATGGTCTAAACCGTAAGTTCCGTAATACATAATTCTGAGTAAGTGTCGATCATCTGGCGACTATTATTCACTGTGTGGCGCATATGTATTTGGTGTCCCCTCGTACTAATATTTATGTGTTCAAATATTTATATTTATGACTATTATTCACTATACACCTATAACCCGACCGTTGCTGCTACCTTGACGTGTTGGTTGGGCTTGCCTATCGTGATGAAGCGACCGAGCTATACTGGCTGGAACAATCGTTCCTCAAAGTCCTACCGTGTCAGACAGGTCGGTTGAAGAGCGGTAAGACTAAAAACAACAAACCCAAGGTCTGAGTGCGAAGTCGTACTGCTGACTGTACAGAGGTGTGACAGCAGTAAGGTGTTTCCTTCAGACAACCAGCATGACAGCGATGCTGCCTTCCCACAAGGAGGGGTGGGGTTAGAAAAGGTCGACCCTAAAAATGCACACCTCCCTTATCGCACGGATATCCGTCTCCGGCGGTAACGTCTTAACAAGTACGGACCTAACACAGAATTACCCACAAACAGTCGTGTGACCGACCTCAAGCAGTTGTCCCTTGCGCACTGCGGTCACGCTCTCAGGTCTCTATGACCACCTTTAGTCCAATTTCATTTTCAGGTACCTCCAGAAGAAACCTTCCACGGTGTGCACAGGCAACCGGGAAATGATAACCGCCCTCATACTTCTAACAGCATTCAAGACCACTGTATTCATAATCGATTTCCCTCTTCGATTACTATTATTACTCCGACCTCGACTTCAACTCTAAATTTCTCCTTTTGTCGTCCTCTTCAAATGTCACCATAGCCAACGATTCTAGTGCGCAAAATACTGTCCCAGGTCTACTGAAATCTCGCTCCAAACTACACATCGGCATACGCACCCTGTGTCGAATCGCCCAACAGACCTCCTTGGCTAAAACCATATAATTTCGTCCCATTGATGTATGCTGTGTCTCTGAAACACGCATACAGGATCCCAGTGTGGTCATTAATTTGACCTCACCTAGTCAAAATGGAGAACCGACGAGATACACCCTCCGTGTATCTGGCGACGCGATGGATAGTTCTCGTGGACTGGCAGGTGTAGGCATAGTGCTAAGTACAAGGGCGTAACAAGCATTATTAGAGCGACCGCCGTTAACAGTCATTTATGTGCTGTCCGGCTAAACGGCTCCGTAAAAACTCGGAAGGATAGGGACACGTGTCATCGCCTTTTTTCTTCATTTCTGCCTACTCTTCCATCCACTGACTGCAGCCCGGATGAAGTGAAAGATGACTTTTACAAAAGCTTTTTGAACTTCTTCATAAAGCTAAACGTTCAGACATAGTACTCGTAGCAGGTGACTTTAATGCCCGCGTAGGTAGCTTAAACCAAAAAGAAAGACATTTAGGTGAGTATTTTAGTATCTCGTAATCTCATCCCATCAGGCTCTGAACAGGATGAAGAGCGCCAATAAATCAGATTTTGGTTAACCAAAAGTCTGAGGAACGACCGTGAGCAGTGGTGGGTAACGAAAGGAAAAGAGATGGAAAAGGCGGCGACTATAGGGAACACAAGACAGCTTTACAGACTAATAAAAGAAACTGGAACTAATAAGTCAAGTGTAAGTGAGATTATTTCGAAAAAAGACGATACCCTCATCTGCTCTCAGTCCAGACGTTTAGAACGATGGGCGGAACATTTCAGAGAACAGTTCAGCTGGCCTTCAGCTACTCTACAACTACCCTCTATTCCAAGACATTGTGAATGGAAGATTGAAGTAGATCCTCCAACTCTAGCAGAAGTTCAAAAGGCTATAGTTAATCTGAAATGAGGAAGGGCAGATGGATTGGCTCCAGAAGTCTTTAAGGATGGTGGTCCAATTTTAGTGATTAGGTTGACTAATATTTTAGCTAAGATCTGGGAATTAGACGTTATTCCATCTGAATGGTCACAATCACTTATCATCCCAATATATAAGAGAGGGTCAAAATCATCCTGTGACAACCACAGAGGGATTAATTTAACTAATATATTTTAAAGAGAGCAAAAACAAAAATTGGTGCAGAATAATATGAATTCATTTTATTTCGTTAGGTTCTCATCAGCTGCTTACAACCTAAATGATTTAAAATTCAACATTAATACAGATATTGACATATTTATATATAAGAGTGTGATTAAGGATCAATACATGTGTATGATGATGTAGCGAATATTCAGATAGAGTTAATGAGGCCATAAAATGTTTGATTCGAATAAATAAAGTTTGAGAGGGAAAGTTCCAGAACATTGAAATAGTGATTAGAAC